GGACCCAACTGATTTGGCCCTGGGGGTGGTATGTGGTCCTGTGAGAACAGACTGCCTGGCAAGGGCAGGCCTGATTCTTGGAAGGTTCTGGAGAAAGTACCTGTGAGCGGGTGAGGGTCGGGAGGGGGACAGGGGAGTGGCTCCCTGGGGAATGGGGCTGCAGGGGTGCCCTGGAGAGCCCCTGCCCACTGGACGACATCGGCACCAGGGAGGTTGCTGTCCAGGCACTGTGTGACCAGCAGCTTCTCCCCGACTGTAGGTGTCAACACGTGTGACATCATCACCCTCTACATCTCTGCCATCAAGGCCTTGCGAGTGCTAGACCCCTCCATGGTCATTCTGGAAGTGGCCTGTGAGCCCATCCGCCGCTACCTAAGGTGAGGGTTGTGGTTGGCCTAGGAAGCCACTGGGACTCGGGGCTTTTTCATCCTGCCGATCTCCTCTGGTTCTAGTGGCTGGGCCAAGTGGACTGGCTCAGGGGAGGGGCTTCTTTCCTCTTGGCAGTGCTGGGCACCTGTCCTTGTCACCACAGCGTCACTGTGTGCCACTGGCAGGGGCTTGCATCAGCCCTTCCTTGGTTCCTCTCCCTCCCCCGTCTAGCACAGTGAGGGGCTCTTTTGCTCAGCCCCTCAGGCAGAACAGGCGAGAAGAGTGGGGTCTGTGCTGTCTCAAGGAACAGAGATTTCCTCGGGCCGTTTGGTGGAGAATGTCTCTCAGTGGTGCCTGGGCACAGCTGCCCACAAACCCCTCGCGCAGCTGGAGGGCACAGTGGTCCCAGGACCTGAGCAGGAAGAGCCAGGGGCCCTCTGGCACCTGCCCTGGACTCGTGCTGCTTCCCGGCTGTGACTGGCCTGGTCTTTATGACGTGGCCAGTCATCACTGGCCGTAGAGGTGGGGTCAGCAGTGCTGGCGTGCCTGGCCAGCGCTAGGGTGAGCCACGGGAAGAGCCTCGAGGGCCGCGCACTGGGACGCAGTGGTGCTCTCACCGCAGGACGCGGGAGGACACGGTGCGGCAGATTGTGGCTGGGCTGACAGGGGACTCGGATGGGACCGGGGACCTGGCTGTCGAGCTGTCCAAGACGGACCCAGCAAGCCTGGAGACCGGCCAGGACAGCGAGGACGACACGGGCGAGCCTGAGGACTGGGTGCCCGACCCTGTGGATGCCGACCCAGGTCAGCTGGCCCCGGCCGCCTGCCTGCTGGGGCTCTACTCTCCGGCACACTGCCACGCATGCTGCTGCGTCAGGGCTTTGAGGGGTCGGAGGTCAGGCTCTGCTCAGCACCAGGTGGCTCGGATGGGTTTGCAGTTGGCTTCATACCCTGGTGGCTGTCGGGTCACTCCAGCCACAGCAGGTGCCCTGCCTGACCCGCCCTCATGTGAGCAGGGGGGTGTCCCCGGCCCACTGCTGCAGCTGGTAGAGATGCAAGGTCACGGGGGCCCTGCACACCCCAACTGCGATGGGCCCCTCTCTGGGGACCTCTGAGGCTTTGGGGCACCTGCCTAGCCCAGCCCTGGCACAGACAGTGCATCTTGAGTCTCTGAGAGGACAACCAAAGGACCTATGGTTTGTCCCCAAGCCCGGGTGGGGGTCCAGGGAGGTCCCCGTGATGGGTGGGTTGGGGATCGGAGCTGTTGCCTGAGGTCTGCCAAAGGCGCTGTGTCGCTCCAGCCCAAGGGCACTGAGGAGAAGCTGTGCTGGGTGGGTGCTGCTGGCATCCCGTCTCTGCCAAGGTGCCAGTCGAGCCCCTCCCCAACCCCCGTACCGTGCAGGGAAGTCGAGCTCTAAGCGGCG